AAAGCGGTTGGTCCTCTGGTTGTGAATGCTGCCAAAAACACCATAACATGATTAATTGTCGATGGAAATTTGATAGGTTCCCGAGCAGAGGGTGAGAACAAAATGAAAACAAGAATTATGTTGTTTTCATTATTCCTGATAACTCAAATTGATTTCATTTTGATGGAGTTGATGGCTAACAGAACAAAAATGAGAGCTAAAAGATATGCGAAGAATATCAAAATTATAACATATATTGATATTAGTGAGAACTGCTTGATAACTTATTTTGATATAGATATTTTATTTAGATTACAAATTTAGTTATCAACATGTTATTGCATGCATGCCGAAAAAACAAAATAAAAATACATCAAATTTTGATGTCATCATGAGTTATTAAAAGGCCAGCTATATAAACGCACAGTGGAATCGGGCGTGACTGCGTTTTCCGTTGGAGGGAGTGAGAGAAGCATAAAAGAAACAGCAACAATTAATTTTGGAGAGAAGGGGGTACGCTGATAAAATCGAGCAAGTTATTTTGTTTTTATAAATTTTGATTTTTTTTTTCTTAAGCATTTTATAAAAATCTGTATAAAACTGTATTGTAATTTAAAAATCTGTGATAAATCTGTATTCTGTATCGGGTCTGTATTAAGATTAAAAAATCTGTATAATACAGATAAATCTGTATAAATGGCAGCGCTGCCTAGAACCTTCGTTGGCAGCTGCTAGAATCATCTTCGAAATCATGCAGAATTTAATTCAGTGCCAACATTTCAAAGGGGCGTAATTGCTTTTGTAAACAATGACTTTAGCCGTCAATTTCTCGCGAATGAAATCTTACTTCTCCAAAATGACAATGCTAACTGGTAGAGGAAACATTTCTCTACCTGCTGGTGTCATTATTTTTCATGAGTGAGCTTTTATTCACGAGAAATCGACGGCTAAAGCCATTGTTTACAAATGCAATTACGCCCCTTTGAAATGTTGGCACTGAATTAATCATATTGTCGAGCAGTTTTGGGACGACCTTCTACCAGCGATTTAACGGAAATGAAACAATCAATTCCAAATTTTGCAATCATTTTACAAATAAGACCCTATTTTCTCGAGGTTGTAGAGGAAAAATATTAAAATATTGTTCCACGTTAAAGTTCGAGTGGTATGAAACGTCATTTAAAACTGCTCGAATGATGTGATCCATTAACCACTTCATTCGAGCAGTTAAAATGATGTTTACTACCACTCGAACTTTGAAGTAAAACATATTTTTGAGATTTTTTCTTCTAGAACCTCGAGAAAAGTAGCCAACATTTGTGCGTTTCATGAAAAAATAGAAATTAGATGGTCCAGTTTTGTGAAATCGCTGGTAGAAAGTCACGCCAAAACTGCTTGACAAAGTGGTCAATTCGCTGAGAAGGTAAAAACATTCGTCGAACCTTCCAGGAACTCCCGTTGACAGCATCCAAAATCACCGAAATCACGCGGAACTTCATCCATCGATAACGTGAGAAAATGCCTGGAGCTTCAGTCTGCAGTATCCAATCTTTTCACTAGTATCTTGCAGAACCTCTTTCGCCGACAATGCGTGGAAACTACGTCGAAAGTCTCTGGGAAACTCCTTTGGCAGCATCTGAATTTTCGATGGGAGTATCGACGGAGTTTTCAGATATTCACGGCAGAGAGGTTTCCGAAAGATTTCGGTGGAGATTTTCGGTGCTGCCAAAGGAAGTTCCAGTGAGCTTCGACGGAGTTTTCTCGCGTTTTCGGTGGAGGAGGCTCTGCACGATTCCAGTGGAGATTTTGCTGCCACCGGAAATTTCGACGGAATTTTTTTTCTGTGGAATAATTTTCTCAAGTCAGAAGTGTGGATTTGAGCAAACCGAAGCGAACAACAAAACAGGACAAAACCCTTCATGTATACATGTATTGGTGGGAGGTGTCACTTAAAACTACACACAGAAAAAAATGCACTGAGAAAATGCATTTAATTTTTTATGTTATAATAAATGCACCTCAAGTGATCGCCCCTAGAACCGAACATTCCTCAATGCTTTTCGAGCTGTCGACGTATCTTCACAGCAAAACAAAAACCGGTGTATCTGATTTGACGTATGTGAAAACCCTTCTGTCAAATAGACGAATCATGCATGGTGTATGTAACAATCAAGGTGTGATACCGACGAATCAATCAGGGTGTATGTGAGTAGTACAAAAGTTAAAGGTGTATGATTTTGTTTTATCAAAAATCTTGTCCGTGTTTGCAAAACTCGACATTTTTCACAATTCTCTTAAACGCAATCCCTTTATACAACTAAAAGCACAAACAGATTTAAAAAAATAGTATTAACTTTTAAATAGCATTTAATAATCTCATATAGACATTGCAATCCAGTTTCTAATTTCCTATCCAATGTTACATACGTCCTTTTGAAAAGTAATGCTTGAAATTTTTGCAATAGCATTGAAATAAAATAATAATCGTAGAACAAACATGACAAAACCAACGAAATTCCTGCATGCTTCAATCGATGGTTGCAAATCATATCCGAATACAATCCTACCGTATTAAACCAATAACCAGCATCGGATGCCTGTATTGGAATTCATTTTACAAGGGGCTCTTTTCTATTTTTATTTGATTTGGTTGGTCACGTCTCCATATCAACATTAATCTATGTGGTATGGCTGTTAACATAACCATGTCCATAACCTCATCATGTTTTTTCAATTTTATTTGAAAACTAGTAATTTTTATTTTAGGATCGACACATATCACAATAGTTTTTTAGGTTTTGTACCAGATTCATTCATTTTAATAGCATATTTACACAAACTAGAACTTTAATTTAACCTCGAATTAAACAAATTTCCATAAAAATAATTCATCTATAAGCGTACCCCAATATAGACAAAATTCTATTACTACACTATGTTTGTTTTGATTCGCAGATTGACAGATAAAATGAGGGGTTCGTGGATTTTCCTATGTTTCGAGGGGTGCATCGATTAGCTTGGGACCGAAGAGAGTACCAGAGCTGAGCCCGAGGCTGAGCCAAAAAGTAGAGCTCGTTTCTTCGGGACCTTCTGGTCTTAGAGTTACCTCTATGGTAATATCAATAGTAATATCTATGTTTTTTTTTATGGTACCATCTTCGGTCCTAAGCTAATCGATGCACCCCTCGAAACATAGGAAAATCCACGAACCCCTCATTTTATCTGTCAAACTTTCATAGCGAATCAAAACAAACATAGTGTAGTAATAAAATTTCGACTAGAATAGGGTACGTTAATCGATTTGCTTGGGACCAATAGGTTCTTGAATAGGTTAGTCAAGTAGTGAGCTAATTTAAAATCGTTAGTTTCCACCGGTTGGTAGTACAGTGTTGCCAATTGTTTCAAAGATAATAACAATTTCTATCCATGGGTGCCAATGAGTGTGACCAATTGTATTTTTGGCACAATGTGTGGCGTGACCCGAGGAGTGACCAACCCGTTGTCTGATACCCAACTACCGTTTGAATTTGTAAAAAAAATATTGTTTTAACAGTACATTCGCCACTTTTTCTACACTAATAGAATTCCACACATTTTTATTGGATTTTCATGTGACCACACATAAACAGAATCCACCTAGAAGCACACATGAAATTTATGAGTCAAATGAATAGTATGTGTGGTTACACATGGCTTTCATGTGTACACATATTAAGTATGTTTCCGACACATAGATATTATTTGTTGATCACATTGCAAAAATTCATGTGTGGGACACATAGAAACAATATTTGAAATTTTTATCAGTGTACTGTATTGTGGAATTGCAGCCGTTTACAGTTTTGATCAGAAAAATTTATTTGAAGTTTTCGGTAAATTTCTGAATCCAACAAAAAAAAACCGAACAATATTTAAGAAATTTAGTGTGTAGGGGAACACCAAATACGACAAGAAACGGTTTTGCAATCAAGTTATAACGAAAAAGAAAGTCGATGAAAATAATTGATCAATGTAGGGCCTAATCCATTACTCGGCTTGAATTGTTTACTAGCTGCAACAACAGAAAAGAGATTTTTCCAAGGATTTTTCTATAATTTGAGTGAAGTTTCAATTTTATTTATTAATAAAGCAGTGAATAGAGTAAATACACCTAATTATCTTTAGAACACGTGCGAAACAAAATAAAAACATCACATTCACCCATAGTCTTGTTCTCATTCAAACCATATTTTTCATACAATTATTTTTTTGCATGCAAAAACGGTTCGATCCAAAACGTAAATATGGGTGATTGTGTAATAAACCAAAAAAAAAAAAAAAAACACAGTCACTTGGAGCTATTTTTTGATCGATTTTCGACGTAGGACTACGTCTGTGATTTCTATATGAGGGTACACTAAAAAAAAACCAAAAATGGAACTTGCAACAAAATTATTAAAGATTTTGAACGTTATTAACTCAGCTGCCCCTGGTCTAATTTCAATAATTTTATTACCAATCGATCAGATATATTTCTACGCATCTGTTGAATTTAAAACTTTATCATTTTTGAAAATGTAACTATTGAAAATTGCACGAATGTGGAATTGTTTCTATGATAATTAAATTATCACCGATTGCCTGCGAAAAGCGATTTCCCTAACATAGATTTCAAAGTTGAATTCCATCCAGTCTCCGGTATCACCTCGTGCTGAATGGTGGTGTTCTCCAGTACACAACGAAAGGCTGCGAAGCGAGTTGCAGCCCCATGAGCTTCCACAGAAGGAGGCTGAAGCCGCACCGCTATTGATAGGAATCAATAGCTAGGCTCTTCGTGAGTTGCTGTGGGCCATCTATGTCAAAAGCGTCATACTAAAGAGTATAAGCAGAGAGAACCCCGCTCAAATTTCTATTCTTACACAAAACACAAGCTTTTGCTGCAGTTTGCAAATAAGATTTAGTATATAAGACCACGTAGTCCTACGTCACCATTGCGTACAACCCCATTGGGCTGTCCCTTGTAGTTTTTGTTGAATAACTTTTTACAACACACGATTAGCAACATTGTTGCTAGTTTCCGAACAAAGTAAATTGTTATGTTCATCCAACAGCTGCTCCACTTCTCCCTGCACAGCCGAATAATCGCATTCCTACAACAAAAGATACAAATAAAGTAGAATTAAACCTTTACCAACCCAATTCATGCACCCCATACCTTCTGCAACTGTTCGACAAAATCTTGCAACGATTTGTTCTCCTTGATCAAATCCACCAGTTTGTCTTCCAAGTGTGATATCTGCCTGTACGTTTCATTGCTCTTTAAATTGATCTTGATCTCCTGATTTCGCTTCCGTGCCTCGTCAACTACATTTTCCGTAACACGCTTCTTGTCTTCCAGCTCCTGCAGAACCCCAGTTAATTCGCTCATCTTAACCGTTGCCTCCGAGCGGGGCGCCTCCAGGTTGCTGTATTTTTGTATATTATTCAACGCGTCCGTTTCTTCCTGCCGCAACCCGGTCAACTGGTTGATGGTTCGTTTCTCCAATATTTGTAGCTGTTTCAACTGAATGCTCAGTTTCTTGTATTCTTTGATTAGTCCGGTGTGCGAATTTAGATCGTTCTTAGCGGTGAATCCAGAGCTTTCCAGCTTGTCCGACCCCATCGATTTCATGTTGATCCCTTGAAGAGTGATTTGCTCGATAGCGTACGTGATCTGGTTCTTCAGTGATTCAACATCTAAAATGGAAACAAATTAAATAATCTACACTCCAAAATCTCTAAATTGAACAAACTAACTTTGCTTCTCAGCTGCCAAACTCTGCTGAAACGTATCCATGAAAGCTGACATGACCTCGTCCCTTTTCTTCAGTTCCTTGTATTTGATATGCCGTTCAGAGTTTCCTTCCTCCAAATCCTGATCAATTTGCTGTAGCATTTCCTTTTTCTCATTCAACTGATCCTCAATGATCTTCAACTGCTTACCGATGCTGGCCAAAGCCTGGTTGTTCGAACGAACCTCATTGATCAGCTTCTCTCGTTCCTGAGCTGGTGACAAACGGTTATTCTCCTCGTCACGCATCTGATTACGCTTCGCCACAAGTTCCTTGAGTTTCGATTTCAATCGATGAGCCTCCGTGCGCGTCTGTGAGTTCATAATAATGGTGTTTAGCCGATCCTTTTGTTTTTCCAGATCGCTTATCTGGTTGTGATAGATCGTATTCTGCTGCCTCAGGCTTTCTGATAACGCTTGATACTCCCGATACTTCTGCTGATCATCTTGCGGAAGCGAGAAGATCATTTCATTGATCTTGTTCTTTTCCTTTTCTGCATCGGCTTCCAGCTCTCGATTTTCAGCGTCCTTGATCTGACGCTGCTTGAATACGATTTCCAACTGTTCCTGAATGTGCTCGTTGCGTTCGCGAAGTGCCAGCGTTTCGTTCTGCAGCTGCTGACGGGTCATCCCGGAGCTACAGTTATCCAGAGCAATATTCATCGAGGTGAGCGTGGACTGCAGCTGGGTCAGCTCTTTGGCAGAGTCCTTGACTCTCTTTTCGTATAATTTGCGAGCGGATTTCTCACGGTCCAGGAATTTCTTTTCCTTCATGAGCTTTTCCGTTTCCTGAGATATTTCTTGGATTTTGCTCTGTAACACTGCCTGCCAGTAGCGCTTGTCTTTGATTTGGCGATTTCCGCTGGCAGTTCCGATGCGACCGTAGGAAGTAGATAAACCGCTTATCCCGTGCTGGGTTATTGGACGCTCGGCCATACGCTAGTGGAGAAGATTTAAGATCGTTATATGCAAGCATTACAAACCTGATATGTGAGTGTAAAAAAATAAAAATCCAGAATTTTCAAATATTCGATCACGAGATGTGTAAAAAACAGTATTCAATTACATATCATTAAAAGACGAGCAAGTGTCCCATAATTCTTAAAACTGCGTTTTCCTGGCCTATTTAAGAAAAAGTACTTTTAGAAGTTCATTTTGGTCATGTTTCAATACAATATAGATTGTTATTGTCCCTGTAATTGTAAGGCAAATTATAACACGTTTTTTTTTATCCAAAACATTAAATTAAAAAAAAAATTATTGTTCTGCCCAATTTCAGGCCATGATTATTACCTCTTCCATAAGTTCCATTCAACAAGCGTAATCCGGAGCTCCTATCTGAATTATAATGTGTCGAGTCGGTTGGCAAGTCGAAGGGAGTTCTTCTCCGGTCAGGATCGCGATCTACATAGTTCGCATCAGTCGCTGTTGGTCGGTGGTTCGGGCGACTACACCGCACATGAATCTGATTTATCCCTAAAGCTGTATTTAGACAGGGCAAGTCAATTCATCAAGTCAGTTGAATTCAACTGATTTGAACGCGAATTGAACGTGTAAACCATGTCATTCAACTGACTTGAATTGAAAAAAGGTGAACCAGGCTCAACTTTTCAAGCCAATTGAATTCAACTGAGTTGATCATTTGACTTGCCTAGTCTGAACCCAGCTTAACGGTGGTTCTACTTCTGGCATGGAAGTAATGCTCGGAGCTTTCGTTAAATTTTGTGTTACCACAATCTGTCAAATTTGTATATGTTGCAATTAACCACTTCATTCGAGCAATTGAAAGGACGTATACTACCACTCTAACTTTGAAATAAAACATTATTTTGAGATTTTTTTCTTTTAGAACCACGAGAAAAGTAGCCATCATTTGTGCGTTTCATAAAAAAATTGGAATTAGTTGGTCCAGTTTTGTGGAATCGCTGGTAGAAATTCACGAAAAAACTGCTTGGAAAAGTGGTCAATTATGAAATTCGGTTCTTTTAGGCAGCGCACGGATTTCATTCCAAGTATTAATTGCTTCGAATTTTAAAAAATAAAACCCAGTGTTGTAATGGCTTATTTAGTTCTTATTATTCTATGTATAACTTATTAAATTTTGCCAGACTTTCTGGCTTAATCGAGGGAAACTAAAAGTTTCTCGCAAGTTGTGCTCATGTCTCTTACATCAGACTGCCTTGGTGCAGGGATGCCAGATGATTTTTTCAAAAATCTGTATGAGTGTCAAAAAATATGTCTGTATTTGTCTGTATTCTAGAAAAATCACCGAATTGTAGATTTCGTATTACCCACATGTATTTTGACTATAAAATTGCTCGCCTCACACTAAACTAAACAAATAAGCATTTTTAAACTAAAAAAAGTCCGTTTTTGCGTTTTTTAAATTTTTATTCTTAGTGCAAAAAATACGAAGTCAAAACTCAAAAAGCATTTTGCTGTTTAAAATCACGACATTAAAAACAATAAAAATCCCGTTCAAGGTCCATGTACCGAACCATCGGAATTAAGTGACAACGTAAAAAAATTAACATAGGCATGTGGGTAAGGCTAGAAGAAGGGAAAATCTATTATTTCAAATAAAAATAACTGAGAAATGATCAGAACTTACCGAACAGATTTTATTATTTAGTCTTATGTCTTAGTCGAAAAGCTGTTTTTATGATTTAAGTGATTCCTTTTTTATTTTGATGGCTTTTCCATATTCCTTGGACGCTAGGATTCCCTGCATCATAGCTGCATCCATCCGGTTACGCAGTTTAGGGTGATCGACGAAAACATCCTTTCAACTGTCGCTGAGGAGTGTGGGAATGCATATAGGGTTGGCACAATTCGTCTGAGATAAGGAAAAGCGATTTCGCCATTCACCCGTTTGATGGCCAGTACCACTCCTCAAAATTCAACATCATCATCAAAATTAGTATCCATTGGCAAATCCATGTTTCTCAGCTCGCGGAATTCGTCTTCTACCATTTGCATTTCTAATTCGTTGATAACATTTGAGAACATCCGCAAAACTGGGTACATTGAGGGGTGCGATTTATTTTTGAGATTTTTTGGGTCAATGCCCTGCCTCAAAAACCTGGCAATGGTTTACGAGAATCACATCATCCATATTGATACGTTTCCCGATTTAATTTACAAGCATTATGTAGAAGTTCATCGCTATTGTTCTGAAGTGATGAACATCCTCAAGCTTCATGCTATTGGATAACAAAACATGATCCAAATATAAACCTTTTCTACAGTAGTTTCAAGCTTCGCAATGTAGTCTGGCCTCATGAAATTATCGAGCAAGCGAACTAGCTCAGAATTGAGTCGGAATATTTAAGGCGCTTCCGATTGGAACAAGCGGTTTAGTTTGTTAACTTTTGGTAGAACAAATTTCAAAAACCTCAAGCAAAGCTCCGTCATGGGGTTCTCCAAGATAAAATCTCCTTAATAAAGACAACCAACCATCTTTCATCTTCTCGGCATCAAGTCCACATTCGAATTAGTATTATTTAAGTATACTCTGAGAGCTGGAAGTTTCACCACCTGCTCTAATGACAACCAGTGTGTGGCAGCCGGGTGGAGCATTTTCAATGGTTTCAAGTCCATAATTGCTTGAAGCTGTTCAAATTTTGAAAATATTTTTGTTTATTTTATGTTAAATTTCAGGAACCAACTGGTAAAAATCTGTACAAAATCTGTATTAAGTTTCAAATATCTGTATAATGTCTGTAGTCTGTATTGGGTATGTACGAAACTTCAAGTATCTGTATAAATACAGACATACCGCTGCCTCGGTGACAAAAGAACACGGTCAATGATACCAACTCGGCGACTGAGATTAATTGACTTAGACAATTTTCTTTCCATACGAAATTTACTCAGATTTGGAATAAACTGCAGTTACTCACAAGCTATCCAGTATTTTACGATCGCTAATGGCACGGCTGAGTTTCTGGTAGGGAACATAAGATTTGAAGTTTGGGTTTGTCGTTTGACGTGTAAGCGATCAAATTTGAACGTTTATAAGTTAAACGACACAATCCAAACGTCAAATCATATGTTCCCTACCAAAAACTCAGCCAGATTATGGTGGCCATCAGTACTCGTAAAATGCTGGATAAGTAACTGCAGTTTATTCCAAATCTGAGTAAATTTCGTATGGAAAGAAAATTCTCTGAGTCAATTAATCTCAGTCGCTGAGTTGGTATAATTGGCCGTGAATAAATGTTTATCCATCAGTTGCACTCACGAGAAAAAATGGCGATTTATCTGATTTTACCAACGCATCTAAAGCGCGCATTACACATGTCAATATATTGACAATAAATTGACATACTGACAATATTATTGAAAAGGTGATATTGATTATGATGATTGATGACAAGCATTGACGGAAAGCTGATTTTCATTTCACTTTGTCAATACTCAGAATATATTGACAAAAAAAAACAGCCAATCATCAATATACGAATATTGACAACAACAATGGCAAAACGTTTGAAGAGGTTTGAAGCCTTTTAACCTCAATGTATTAAAGTCAATATTACTTGTCTCAATTTCCCCACACAAGAAACGTGGATCAGCGGGTCAAAAGAGAAACGTCGTTGCTGGACCTATGGAAAATACTAATTACACACTGAATTCGGATAACCTATTTCGGTAAAATTTTACTCGGTTTTTGAACTACTGAAAAAGTCTCGTAAGAAATCAATAAAATCGACACATTTTCATTGAATGATTTTAAATAGGTCCGTACAATTTCGTAATAAATTTCAAATTTTTTGGATTGGTTGGTACTAGACATACTCAGAGGGAGAGATGGGCGGAGAGAATGTTTTGAGCCAAATGAACTGTCAAAATCTGAGCCAATCGAACATTCCCATTAGAATTTTTCCGAGGATTTCTTATTCTTTCTAGAATAAATTTGAGAGTATTCAATCCCTTTATGTTTTGTGTGCTTCTCAAATTCAACTAGTTTTTGGAACCAAAAACAATATTCGAACTCTATTGATTAATTGATCTTCGTAGAAATGTGCAAAATATTGCGATGCAATCAATTATTATTTTGCACGTAACTCGAATCAAAAATAAAAGTCATTTGGAATGCTAGCTTCTAGCAAGGGTTGCAAGATAATTTAGGAACAAATCCCTGATGCCGAATTGAATTTTGTTTTCTCCGCCTATCACTCCCTCTGAGTATTTCTAGTTGGTACCTGAATACTGCGAACTAACTCAAAATGCTTGTCATCTGGGAGCCGATTCGAACTGTCAAACGGGAGTCAAACATTAAAAAGAGCTCAGAAGTCATGTGGGTAGTTACTTCTTGAACCACAAGTAAAGGTATTGCCACCTACTGTAATCAAATTAAGAATTATAAATATGAAACTGTCGAAACATCAACCTTAGTAGGCCAATAACTTCGAATAAGTTTATTTTATTTTATATTAATAATAATGTCAAAATTGGGTTGCGAGTTGCTGAAGCAAGAATTTAATCAAACTTTATAAGAGTCATGTGAGCTTTGTGGGCAGGTGCACTCCCAACACCATGTATACGTTATTTGCGGAGCAGAGAAAGAGGAGCCAAGAGTTCATTTGACAGCATGTATATACGATTCCGTGAGCAAAACAATTTGAAACTTCGAAAGATTTTCACAATTTTTTTGCTAACTTGAAAAATTAAACCGACAGAGTTCACAATACCCAGGTTGGTACTATCCGTTCACTCCACTGAAAGTACCAATAAGAAACTGTCAATATTTGTCGATTTCTCGACGGTCAACGCCAATATCAAATGTTGTAACTTTTTGACAGGACACAGAAAATACACAGGACAACATGATAACAAATTAATTGAATTGAATCAAATCGATTGTCGACTGCGCGGAATTACCATTCGTGTTGAATAACCCACGTTCATGGTATGCAGTTTCCCATATATAAACTATCCTAAAGGAAAAACTTGCATATATTATTTAATTTGCGTTACGTGTAGGCATGTGAAACACAGATAGTATTTATTTTATTTTAAAGTAAAAAAAATTACATGATTATGCTTGTGATTTTATAGCAAATGAATATCCATATAGACGAAGCCCGGGTAGTGATTGACGACTGTAAAAGGATACTTTTTTATTTAGTTTGATATCCATTTTATATCACACACGAAGATTTAAATAAAATGGCAACACTGCATGCGTGAAGGTGCATTGTGAGTCAGTCGGTCTAAATGACGTACGTTCTCCCTTCTCTTGCGTAGGGGAAGAATATTGAGAAAGTGAAATGAAAATCAGTTTTCAACAATACTCGTCATCAAACCATAATCATCAATATTACCTTTTCAATAATATTGTCAATATGTCAATTTATTGTCAATATATTGACCTGTGTAACAAACGCTTTAGTGAATTGTCATTAATATTGTCAATATTTATATATTGATTATATTGTAAGGAAAATTGACAATACGATGTTTGTCAATATATTGACATATGTAATGTGCGCTTAAGAAAACCGAGTTTCTTCGGTCCCAAGCAATTCGATTAACGTACCCCATTCTAGTCGAAATTCTAGTACTACACTATGTTTGTTTTGATTCGCTATGAATGTTTGACACATGAAATGAGGGGTTCTAGTCTTAGAGTTACCTCTATGGTTCCAGTGTACCAAAATCTTGGGGCAAGACAGCTTTCGATCATGAGTATATTCGGAGTTAATTTTGAGTAATTCTGAGTAACTCGCATTGCTCAACAACATTTACACATAGCAACCTGGTTGTTGTGTTAAAACCAATGCTGTCAATCAAAGATAATTCAGTGGCAACATGTCAAAGGGGTGTAATTGCATTTGTAAATTTGTAATACGTACTTCAACATTTCAAGCGGTGCCCTTTCAAACTAAAGCTTAACCAAGAAGATATTTCGGCAATGGAAAGGCAATTGCACTTTCGTATAGCACGCTGCGAAACATTAGCAACCACATAATACGGATTCTGATGGACATTCACAAGAAGGATTCTGGACAGTCCCAGAGGGATTCTGGACAATCCCTAGAATACTTCGGACAATCTCTGGAAGGATTCCAGTCGATCGAAAAGGGGATTTATGACAGTCTCCGAACTAGCAAATATATGATGCCAGACAGTTATCAGAAAAGATTCCATACACTCACAGTACGGCTTCCGGACAATATCAAAGGGGACTTCGGACAAACCCAACAGGGATTCTGGACAGTCAAAAGGACGATTTCAGTCAAAATTAAGGGGTATTCATGACAGTCTAGAGAGGTACCATGGCCGTGGATACCTGCTGATTTTTAGTACCTATTAATTAGTATATAACTCGTAGATAAAAGATGGATTCTTCAGTGGTGTTGAGTACTTGGCACTGATGAAGTCTGCAAGTAGTAGACGAAATACGCGTATCTGTCAAAAGATAAGCAATTATAACGAAATTTAAAGGAAATAAAATAGATTCCAAATGTGGATCATCACAACAACACCAGGCGATGAAAATTTAACCCGTTTCTGATCACAATTTTCAACTGTCTTTTTCTAAGAGTATCAGGAAGTTTCTAGTGACAATTGACCATTACTCTGACTTTTTCTAGCAAAATATTCTCGGGGATTTATATCGATCTTCCATTACCGAAGCTTGTCAACTTAATTTTGCTGGTGTACACCTTAATTATAAATAATTAGTATAATTGAGTTTCCTCATGCCAGAAAATAATTCAACAGAACAAGAAGCCTCTTACATCGATTTTGAGAGGTTGAGTATTAATTTTCATGAGCTAAAATAATCTTCTCATAATATTAGGTCAAATTCCAACTTCTTTGGTCTTGAAATCACACCACCACATCACGAAAACCTTCGAAGATCATCAATCCCTAGAAAGCAAAAGAGGCCCCTGGCCTGGACAAAATCAATGTAACTTGGATCTTTTAATACATGAAAACTTACTATTGCCGTTTCATGGACATCATGCTTTTAAAAGTTGATAATCTGACGCCAAATGCTAAATTTTCACTTAATTTAAAATATTTATCAAAACATTCTGTCAGACGGTGGTTGTTTCCAGAACTTCTTATGATGAAAAATACGAGACTACTTTGTTCATTTTTGAGTAAATATGAGCAACTCAAATTTATTCGCAGCAAATATATTTACTCTGAGTACAGCTGTCTTACCCCTTAATCAAAATTGATGAAATTTTGGATTACGGTTCCATTTTTAATGCAGATAACGAATATGTATTTACCTCAATACCCCTAAACAACCTAATTAACGTTAAAAATGTCCTAATTTACAGTAAAAAAGTAACCTATTTAAAGTAAAGAATAACGATTTTTATCGGTAAAAAATACCGATAATTTCAGGTAATCGTAGGTACACTCAAAGATAAATTAAATCAAAAAAGATTAAAAAATATGCAGATTCTCGCTTCTCCTTATTGAGTTCGAGCCATGATTACTCGGAAGTAGTCATGCATGATTAAATTCGAAATAATCTTTCCAGTATTGAATTCAATACTGATATACAATCAAAAAAGATTAAAATTCAATCAAAAATTATTCAAATAGAATCAAAAAATAATAAAATTTATTCATAAAAGATCATCTTCAATCTAATCAACCATGATTAAACTGGGGTTAATATCAGATACCTATTTTTTTAGAAAGAGAGCATTGATTTTTAATCATTTGATATGATTAAACCATAGAGGTAACTCTAAGACCACTGGGTCCCGAAGAAAATCATTATTATTTTTGGCTCACTCAGTACCAGAACAACGGTCCCAAGCAGTCCCAAGCTATTTCACTCACCCCTGCATGTTCTGCATGAATCCACACACCCCTGATGTTATCTGTCAAACTTTCATAGCGAATCAAAACAAACATAGTGTAGTCATAGAATTTCAACTAGAATAGGGTACGTTAATCGTTTGCTTGGGACCAATAGGCTACTAAAGTGGTGAGCCAATTTAGGCTGTGAACCATTTGCCGAGTTAAATTTAACTCGTGGTTAAAAGTGACATTTCGAAAGTTATTTTCTATGTTCGAAAATCCCTGTGCTGTCGATCGACCGGTTTTCGAGAAGAACTTAGCCAAGGTTGTCAAAATTTAACTTCTTGTCTGTCAGAAGTAACCACGCTCGGATAGCAGGGTTAATCGATAACTTTCCATCTGTCAAATTTTAACCAAAAGTTAAAATAATCCACCAAATGGTTCAGAGCCTTAAAATCGTTAGTTTCGTATTGATTGTTGATTAAACTGAGTTTTATGTCAAATTGATTACATTTCAAGCAAAATGGGAATAGTTTAATTTATCAGTGTAAGAGTGTGTAGCCCATGCAGCATAGTAAAATACCGGTATAAGTATGAACCCAAACATTCATTAGTATACGATTAGCGTGCTACTCACGTTCCCGGCGTTTCCGAGCGCCGTTCCAATTCTCTGAGCCGAAGCAGAGGAATTTGTCGAATGAACGTTGTTTGCGGCCAACCGGCTAGCGGTGCCTCCCCGGATAGCTGATGGTGCCCTGATGTAGGATGACCATTATATTATTAAAACACCACACACGAAATCAATAAAATTGATCTTTAAAAAGTGAAATAAATTCAAATCAATCTTACTTCATTGCCGTTCCCGGTCGCAGGATTCCAATTGGACTCGGTGACGAGGAATCGTTGTACGAGCTGAATATGCCACCGGTGCCGAGTCCACCGCCGCGTCGCGACGTCGGACGCTCCGAGGACGAACGGGACGATGAGTTGTTGTTGAAATCTTCCATTTTCCAGAGGGTTTGCACACCAAAATCGGACACTTTTCACGGGAGCGGAAATATATGCGGTTTTCCCGGATCGGAAAACAGCACGTTATGTTTGGTTTTGAATCTGGGGTTCACATGGCAACCGGCTTTCAAAATAGGGCAAGTAGTGCTAGGTAGTGTTCGGTTTGGAGACTGGGTAGAAGTAGTAGTAAAATTATTTTTATTTCTGTTGATTATGGTAGTACATTGATTTATCATTTTAATTGATTAGCCTACGTGGCTCTTCATCTTTGTTTAATTTGATATTCTAATTTAATATTTGCGTTTTTCAATTAGTTTACAGAATAGGTATCCCTTTGGGGATGTGTTTTATTTGAATTGAAAAAAAGTGATAACCTACCTAACTACGAGTATAACTTAACCTAACGTGCTAGATCACGTATGATCTGATGATTTGATCTCAGACAGGTGTCTCTGAACCTTTCCAGACTGGGTAGAAGAATACAGAGTACCTATTTATTTCTCATATTCAGTACTAACCTGCAAAGCTTTTATTCGTGATAAATCGACGGCTAAAGCCATTTTTTACTAAAGCAATTTCGTTCATTTGAAATGTTGGTAGTGATATTATTAATATTATTATATTAGATAAATTTTAACAGTTTTCGTAAGATTTTTGATTACTTTTGAATTGTTCGATATTTTTGTTGGTTTTCTTTTTCTAACTCTTACTACGTTCAGACTATGGCTGATATTCAATGAGCACTCATGCGCCAAATTTTTACCGGGAATCGTAGGTCTGTCTTTTGATATGAAAATAGCCTATATTACAACTATAAGGTGTCTACGTGGTTTATGAACATTCCCTTCGTAACCATGACAACGCGGGCATGCGAGGATGTACAGAATTTTTGTGCTCGTCGCAAATGAGACGTGAGATTGTCAGAATCAGTTATTGGTGGTTGTTTTTAGTGCGAATGTTTTATGGTCGCGTCTGAGTGGTGAATTTTTGTTGAATTGTAATGTGTAATACCGGCAAGTGACTAAAGAGGAAGTTTCCGATGAATTCAATGTAAGTATTATCCGTTTATCAAGCGTGGACTTTGTTTAAAACGAAAAATAAACCTATGTGCCACATAATCAGCCCAACCAGCACTTGCAGTTGTTTGTTTTGCCGGCAAGTGGAATTGATTTCCAGAATTTTTTTATCGTCTGGCTCGGCCGTCTGTCTCTCCCTACCCGTATTTGGGTTTGGTGATTCATAAAACGCCGAATATGCAATTTGTACGACAACATAATGCGCGCGCAACACATGTTCATTGTTGCATTCTTCGTTTTCTTCTTCATACATAACCAAAAATGCAGTGGATTCTATAGGGTAAGTGTGTCATAATTCCGAACCTGCAAAACGCGTATCGATAGTGTGAACAAGCTAGCTTCTCGGCAACGGGACAGTCTTGCTGTGTCACAGCATCGAAACGCATTTTGCAGGTTCGGTTAAAACCTATTCTAGATAAACTTTTCAAAAGGTCCTATCTTCATTGATCGATTCTCTTTCGTTAATAACTCAGTTGCAAAACCTTTTGCTGTTGTATTTGAAGATTTGGACGCTAGATGAGAACCTCCTTAACACTCCGAATTCGATGCCTCCGAAAAACGTGTAACGGCAAGTTTGCAATAGCATAACTTAGCCATTTCTTGATCAATTTCAAAAATTGTTGTACTTCTAGAATTCCTAGGGTATGTAGATTATTTTGATTGTAAATAGATTAAAAATAGGGTCGTCTACTTTATTCAAAAGCGAAAAGAGTCGTTACACGTTTGGTGTGTTTATGGGTTTAGCATGTTGCCTAAGATCCATAAATTAGATTAATGGGCACAAATGTTTATACTTAGCCAGAATACAGTAATGGTTCCTATATATGGATCCTGGAGTCATCGGAACGGTCCTCCGGAAGATTCGGAGCATCTGTAAATCGAAAATATCCGTTTTCTCGAAAACATTAGTAACTGTGATATAAGAAAGAATTTGGGTTCATGACACAAACACGGACCCGGATGGCCATGGGAGCGTGCTCAGGAAGATCCTTAACATCTGTAAAAGTGATCAATCCATGAAAACATCTGTAAAAGTGGTCAATTCATGAAACTAATCCTAGAGCTCCGCGGTTTTTTTTTTCGAAAACACTTGGAACTGTGATATAAGAAAGAATTTGGGGTCGTGACATAAACATGGCTCCGGAAAATTCAAAACATCCGTAAAAGTGGTCCATTCATGAAACTGATCCTAGAGCTCCGCGGTTTTTTCAAAAACATTAGGAACTGTGATATAAGAAATAATTTGGGATCATGACATAAACCTCGACCTGGATGGCCATAGGACCATTCTCCGTAAGATCCGAAACATCCATAAAAATAGTCCATCCATGAAACTGATCCTAGAGCTCCGCAGTTTTTTTGAAAACACGTATAACTGTAATATAAGAAATAATTTGGGGTCGTGACATAAACATGGACCCGGATGGCTATGAAACCGTCCTTCGGAAGATTCGGATCATCGGTAAAATTGGTTCATCCATGAAACTGATCCTATAGCACCGCAGTTTATTTAAAAAATATTAGGAACTGTGTTATAAGAATGAATTTGGGCTCGTGACATAAACATGAACCTGGATGGCCATTGGACCATCATTTGGAAGATCCGAAACATCCGTAAAAGTGTTTCATACATGAAATTGTGAAAAACCGTGATTTTTTTTCGAAAACTTCACAGTTTGAAGTGTTTTTGGGAAAACCGCGGAGTTTTAGAATCAGTATCATCGATGCACCACTTTTACGGATCTTCCGAAAGACGGTTTCTTGGTCATTCTAGTTCATGTTTATGTTACGACCCCAAATTATTTCTTATATCACAGTTCCACGTGTTTTCGAAAAAACCGTGAAACTCATGGATCAGTTTTATGGATTGACTATTTTACGGATGTTCCAGATCTTCCAGACAACGATCCCATTCCCATGCAGGTACATGTTTACGCCATGACCCCAAATTCTTATATCACAGTTCCTAATGTTTTTGAAAAAACTGCGGAGCTCTTTTCCGGATGTTCCGGATCTACCAGAGGACGGCCTCATGGCCATCCGAGTCAATTTTTATGTCGTGACCCTAAATTCTTTCTTATATCACAGTTTCAAATGCTTTCGAAAAAAACCGTAGAACTCTAGGATCAGTTTCGTGGATTGACCACTTTTAAGGATGTTCCGGATCTTTCGGAGGACAGTCTCATGGCTATCAGGGTCCATGTTTGTCACGACCCCAAATTAATTCTATCATCACAGCTCCTGATGTTTTTTTTTTCTAAGACTGCGGATCTCTAGGATCAGTTTCATGAATTGACCACTTTTACGGATGTTTCGGATCTTCCGGAGGACGGTCTTATGGCCATACAGGTCCATGTTTATGTCGTGACCCCAAATTCTTTCTCATATCACAGTTCCTAATGCTTTCGAAAAAAAAACCGCGGAGTAATAGGATCAGTTTCATGGATTGACCATTTTTAAGGATGTTCCAGATCTTCCGGAGGACGGTTCCATGGCCTTCTAGGTAGATGTTTATGTCATGACCCCTAATTAATTTATATATGACAGTTCCAAGTGTTTTCTAACAAAATCCGTGGAGCTCTAGGATCAGTTTCACAGATTGAACACTTTTACGGATGTTCCGCCATCCTGGTTCATGTTTATGTCATGAACCCAAATTCTTTCTTATATCACAGTTCATAATGTTTTCGAAAAAAAAAACCGCGGAGTTCTAGGATCAGGAGTTTATGGATAGACCACTTTTACGGATGTTCTCGAGGGGGGCGACACATCTAAATCTCAATTCTAGATGCTCAAAAAATCTCACACTAGCTAATCAATCTTCGAAAAATCATCTTTCATTTCTCGCATCTACTTGCATCGTGCGTCATCTTTTTGCAGGAAATCTTCAAAATCGACATAAATCTTCATTCTATCTACTCAGCGTGCGTGCAGCTAGCCACAGCAAAACACAATCTTTTCTGCATCGTAGATAGAGTCGTCCCCCTCGGATGTTCTGGATCTTTCGAGGATCGCTCCGCTATCTCCAGATTCCATATATAGGAACCATGACCGTATTCTGGCTAACTATGAACATTTGTGCCCATTAATCTAAATTATGGATCTTAAGCCACTTGAAAAACCCATAAACACACCTGAAAAAAACGTGTAACGACTCTTTTCGCTTTTGAAAAAAGTAGACGACCCTATTTTTAATCTTTTTGCAATTCAAGCTGAACATTGCATTAGGTCCTAAGTAACATTGATCGATTCTCTTCGTTGACTTTCTCTTTCGTTAATAACTTGAGCACAGAACCGTTTCATTATGTGTTTGTTGTATTAGATGCTAGATAAAAGCTTCTTTTATCGATCTGTGTGCTGAAAATACCTGGGAATGTCTTTACATGGCCTGGGGATACAAAGAGAAAGTCGACGAAGAGAATCTGTCAATGTTACTTAGGCCCGAATGCAATTTTCAGCTTGAATTAAATTAAAATGTACAGAGCCTAGGAATTCCAGAGGTACCTACCACAATTTTTGAAATTCATTAAGAAATGGCTAAGTTATGTCATTGCAAACTTGCTGTTGCACGTTTTTCGGAGGCTTCGTAGTCGGCGTAAAGTATTTTACCCATCGTATTCGGAGTGTCAATCAAATTATGTGGTAAAAATAGCGCGAATTCTGCTTGCATAGCAGTCGTTATCAACAGAGAAAGTCGATGAAGAGAATCGATCAAAGCAACATCGTATAATTCAAGCTGAACATTGCATTAGGTCCTAAGTAACATTGACAGATTCTCTTCGTCGACTTTCTCTTTGTATCCCCTCGGCCATGTAAAGACATTCCTAGGTATTTTCAGCACACAGATCGATAAAAGAAGCTTTTATCTAGCATCTAATGCAACAAACACATAATGAAACGGTTCTGTGCTCAAGTTATTAACGAAAGAGAAAGTCT